CCACCCCTTCCCTCGAGTAATTACGTCACAGCGTATACTTCAGCGGAATATCAAAACAACAGCCCGGGGTGCAAAACGCATCAATGACAGCGACCCTCTACCACACAGAACAACACCATTTATATAAACACCTATCATGACAGGGCACCCACAGACAAGTAACAATTCAAAATGAATGAAGTCGGCACGGCGGCCCACATTGAAAATGACTTAGGCCTACCTTCTGATGATCAAATCATTTAAACACAAAGTCCATCCTCCTGTCCTTTTGGATGAAGCACTTGGGGGTCATTCAGCTGATCCTTTGTCCCTCCAGTTTATCATTGTAACTCAATCTCGAAAATGACTCGGTTAATAATTTCGCAACGATGTCATCACTACTTCGATTCGAAAATAATAAAAGTAGGGTAGACATGTGGATATTATCCGGCTGAGCAAAACGTGCATTTATCAAACAGGTTCGTTTTCCACAGACCTTATTTCCAGCTATTTTTTTAATGTTTTCAAATATTATTTTTTAGAATAAAGGGCCGTCAGGGAATTTGACAAAACTAAGAAGAGATAAGTTCTTGCCTTTTTTGTTCAACAAATTTAAGCTCCATTTCATTTTAAGAAATGGTTGAATAGTTTTTTAGTCACTCTCAGGTCTGACAGACATTACTGATTTGTACAAGATAATGCTCCGTATAATACAGCAAAACGTTGGAGGCACTTTAAATAAATGAAGAAATGGCTTGCTCTGGGGGTCTCTCAGACCAAGCCAAGTGTCTCTCCTAAAGTCTTAGCTATCATGCTCAGCAATCTTTCTCATGTTATGTTCTTTTTTGGTCATTTCGTGCCAGTCATCCAGCATCTTGCTCATATTTTCCTTCTGCTCCACCTCCTGTTTGTGGGCATCTTGCATGAGTAATGATCTGCATTTTGGATCGGTATTAAGTCTGACCTGTTGTCACGTTTTGTACCATTATTGTTAGGACTTTTTTTATAATAGAATATAAACTCAAAGAATATCTAGTTGTTATTCCAACTGAGTGGGTGAACAATAGGAGGTTAAAGGCTCCAGTAGTGGTATCAGATCTGTGAGTGTGGGAGGCGTGTTGTCAATAAAAGGCAAGCTTTTTGTTTCACTTGATTGTAATTGTTTATTTTGCACAGTTGGAAATTGCTTGAGGGCTTCACTTAAAAAGTGAAAGGGCAGTGGGTCGTGCAAACTGAACTGCAGTTTGACTTGGCTTGCTTCACAGAGTTTTCCTTTTATTCTCTTGTGTTGTAAGTATATATTAAATGCATGCCTCGTGTGTTTTGACAGCAACTGGAGAACAGCCTGAATGAGTTTGGGGAGCCATGGAAACTGAACCCTGGAGACGGAGCTTTTTATGGACCTAAGGTCAGGAAAACGTAACAATTCTTGCTAAATACAAAATGAATTGGATCTTGAGGGACTGTAAAGTGTGATTGTGTATTCCTTTCTTCTGCAGATTGACATTAAGATCAAAGATGCGATTGGACGTTACCATCAGTGTGCGACCATTCAACTGGACTTCCAGCTGCCAATCCGCCTCAACCTGACCTTTGTGGGGTGAGTCAGCTGACGAAAACATGCTGCGTCCGTGTGCTTTACTGCACTCAGGGTTACATGTTAGTCCCTTCATGAATAACAAGGCTTATGCAGGTCATGTGTTTAAGAGCTAAAGAGTCCTATAGAAATATATAAGAACTCATTGAGCAGGCAATTCGTTTTCTTTCTATTCAAATGATTCAACATTAAACCAGCCACTTCATACAGACATACTTCATACTAACACAGTTTAATTGGTTGGGCAGAGAGCTTACAGAGGAAACAGCTGTTGATTGAGTTATCCAATCACATTGGCCCCGGTTAAAGAATATCAAGGCAATTTAACTATAAACGTTACTATAAACAAGCTCCAAAACAAATAAAAACAATTAGAACTATTTTCAAGTCTTGAAGTGCATCTACCATGCTATTTTTAGGCAATAGCATAGGTCTAAAAAAATTGATAAAAAATAAAAAAGGAGGGGGCTGAGCTCATGCGGGACCCGGCAGCTACTGTCTAAACTAAATACTGCCGTGATGAAACGCCATATCATGGATTATCAAGGATTATCTCTGAAACAGTATGGAGCTCAAAGGCTTTCTCTCTTGCCGGTTATACCACAAGGTGAGTTCCTTTTTATTTCCTGCTTCTTCACACACATGCTCTCCAGTACAGGTTAGCTCTGAGTGTTAGCGATGCTAATGTAAACACCGACCATATTACGTCCTAAACAGTCGGGCATTGTTTCTGATAGCAACGTTTCTGATAGGGCCGTGGGTCCACATTTCAGATATTACATCATATCGGACACGAATCTGGATCAGCTCCGTTGTAGCCCCGTTTTTAGAGATTTGGGTACGGAGGAAAAGAGAGAGGGTTTTATTTTCTGATGCTGCGTGAGTTCCCCGACACACCGGGGACACATCTTTATGTATAAAAGACATCACAAAGTGCATTTTACATGATAGGTCCCCTTTAAGATAGTAATGATAAGAAGAAACCCAAAGGGGCCAACACAATAAACATTACCAAAAATGAAAAGAAAGAAAAAACTAATGTTTTACACGTACACATACAAATCGTAATAATATTGCCATAACATCATTTTTTAAAGATGAACCAAAAAACTCAATATTTTTTTATCAGCACCTCAAGAAAACCCACTTGTTAACCCAGCATGTAAAAGTATGCACATACAATCAAATATACAGCAGGTAGTAAGTACAGTTTAAAGTACCATTTGCTTGTTTTGTGTATATCGCATATGTACCTTTTTCTTTACTTTGGAGAAAACAATTACACATTTCGAGTCAATTCAATGTAAACTCATGTAGGTCTAAACAGCCTGTGTTCAATACTTGTGAGATATCTCGAGAGATTGTGGAAATAAAGTGATTTTTTTGTGACATCTCTCCCTGACTAAATGTCTTTCAGGACGGACGGAGACGATAAAGCCCGACCGGTCATCATCCATCGGGCCATCTTAGGCTCGGTGGAGCGGATGATCGCCATCCTCACTGAGAACTACGCAGGGAAATGGTGAGGGGCTTCCCATCTGTTCTATAGAATG